TGACGGTAGTTCGGTGGCACAGTGGTTAGTACGCTCGCCGACCATGCACATGGTCTGGTGCTCGATCCCCGGTCGACTCACGCTCGATATCCATGGTTGGCCTGCTACCGAAATCACATGCTGAAAATTCTATACTTGTAACAAAAATACTGCGTGAAGTCAAGCCATAATAAATAATAGCAGTGTTGTTTTCGATAACTCATTTTGAAGCTCAGCATCTTTCTTTTGAAGACTAGCTAGTTTCACAAAGTCTATGCCATCTATTTGGATGAGGGAACGAATCCACGACAAGGCATCTGCCACAGTGTTACTCACTCCGGATATATAGCGAATATCCAATGTAAACTGTGAAACGTAGTCCAGTTGTCGTGATTCTCAAGGTTAATAATTATCTGAAGTGAAAATCATAAATTCACGACCCTCCACTGAATTTTGGAAATGACGTTTAGCACAGTACATTGCCAGAAGTTCTCTGCCGAATATACTGTACTTCGTTTCTGCTAATTGTAGGCGCCTCGAGAAAAAGGCGAGTGGTTGCCACTCCCTGTTGACTGGTTGTTGCAGAACTGCGCCGATTGCAGTGTCTGATGCATCAACCGAGATAATTAAACGGTGCCGTCTGAACCTGATACATAAGAAGTGTGGCATTTGCGATAGCTTTTGAGCAGACGCGTCCAGTTCGATGATATGTCAATGGCTGAATCAGAGAAGCACAGTTGGGAATAATTTGTCGCTTATATCTTACCAAGCCGTTTAAAGTGCGTAGGCCTTTCACAGTCTTTGGTTCTGGAAAGTTCAGTTTCGCCTCAACTTTATTAGCCAATGGGCTAATGCCCTTGCAGTCAATGGTGTGGCCCAGAAAGTCAAGTGAGTCAATGCCTGTCTGACACTTTTGAATATTAATGGTTACACCATGTAGGTGTAACTTTTCGAATGTCAAGTCTGAGTGTCTAAGGTGAGTTTCCTTGTCTGGACTGGCAATGAGGCAGTCGTCTAAGTACGCGTATACAATGTCGAAACGGCGAAATACTCCGCCAATGAAACGTTGAATGTTTGTGCTGCATTCCGGAGACGAAATGGCTTACGTGGAAATTCAAAAAGTCCGAAAGGTGTAATGATAGCCGTTTTCAGAATATCTTCTGGAACCATCGGGATTCGGTTATACGCTTTAACCAAGTCTATTTTCGAGAATATAGTTGCGCCAGATAATGTTGCCGTCAAGTCGTGTGTGTGAGGCAATGGATAGCAATCAGGGATTGTTTTGGCGTTCACTCGCCGGTAATCACCAGTGGGTCACCAATCGTTGCTATCTTTTTTCGGTACCATATGCAGTGGGGATGCCCATGGGCTATTTGATGGCCGAATGATGCCAAGGGTGAGAATATAGTCGAACTCATTTCTAGAGAGTCGTAGTCTGTTAATAGCAAGTCATCGTGCTTTAGATGTCGTGGGTTGTCCTAAGGTTACGATGTGATGCATAAAATTGATGGTTATGCACAGTAGATCGTTGGAAGGGCAATTAAGTTCCGAGGTGCTTATCAACAATCGGCTGGAAATTTGGATCAAAGATTGCCTTCTTCTTGACGAGTGACAAGCTATGGCCTACGTAGGTAGTACAGTCCATCAGTCGTTTTCCGCGGACATCTGCGAGTAAATCACGATGATTAAGTAGGTCCGTGCTACTGATGGGCATTGTGACGTCAGCGAGAAGGAAAATCCACTAAATAAGTTTATGTAAACCTACCAGAAGTTGCAATTGGTTTTCCATTTGCAGCCTGTAAGTTGAAGGTAGGTTCCTTCTGTCGATCTGCTGCTGTAGCTGGAAAGAAGCTGACTTCGGCACCTGTGTCGACTAAGTACCGGGTCCGGTTGATTACATCACGAATGTAAAGTAGGCGACTAGTGCCACCGGCGACGGTTGCCGCTAACGCGTGCCGATATTCTTTGATACGTTGCCAAAACTTCAAGGTTTTTGACACTTCGCTTCCTGCACATAGGTATTGTGACACCAACACCAGTCAGGGTATTTTAGTGAACGTGGCTTGGATTCAGACCGACCACGTGAGTTTCGCCGCTGAGGGGAGTTCGGACGACGGTACGAGGAATTGCGGCGTATATTTGACCTAAGTGCATGTTGGACGGAGTTGCATAACTCTATAACTGCAGTGTGCCTACTCGAAGTCTGTTCGGCAACCGAGCGTACTTCAGCAACTGGCCGTTTAGTTATTTCTAGAATTTTATCTGCAGAAACAGCTGAGTCATCTATAACAACACCCTGAAGTGTCACCAGCAGGGCCTGTACTGACTGTGGCAGTTTGGATGAGAAAAGTTCTCTGAAGAATCCTTCATCGAACTGACGTTAGCCAATAACTTCCCTCATTCTTGTTAGCATGCTCGCAATCAACTATCACCTGACTCCACTTTGCGAAATATTTCGTCCAGACACTGTCGATCCGTAGAAACGTTTCTCCTTAGGAGGGTTGCTTTAAGCAACTCATACGAGTTATTTACCTCTGGGTTCGAAATCAGCACAGTTACTCATTTGCTGAATTCCCGCGGTAGGGCGTGGACAACTGCAAGGAACTGTGAAGATTGATCAGTTAATTCATGTTCGCTGAAATCAGACTCAGCTATCTGAAACCATGGTTCAGAATTATCTGGCCAAAATAGTGCGAGTTGAATAGTTTTGGCCGTTGGTCGAACGCGGATGACCTTAGGAGTATGAACACTCGTGGAGGAATATATATAGTTTAAAAACAGTACAGGAACAAATACAAATAGAACGAACTCACCAGATTTGTCTATGTATTTGCCAAAGACGAAGCTCACCGTAGGCCTCACCAGGCTGAAGGTATTGACGTTCACGGATGGTACGAAGTATACTAACGCAAGATATAATCCCCAAAACTTCTATAGTATTCGTTACGCGTAGATCAAAGGCAAAGCAAAACACCAGAATTGACCGTCCAAATTACGAGTTATATTTCAGGGCCAAATCGGATTGCGAGATGATTGCTTGACTGGCTAGGGATGGTGCACGAACGAAAGATTGTGACGCTAAGGCATACCAAATGGCGTGGATGCTTGACCAGAAGCCTTCAGCTAAACAAATCGACTAAAACAGTGAGGGTCAGCGTCCAATGTTCAGTGATGAGTGCTGTGGCAAATAACTCTGGGGAATTACGTTCCGCTACCCCGGTATGACTTAGGTAGAATAGAGTAATTATTAAAATAACCCACATTTTGGTCTGCACTGTAGCTCACTGTTCTGATTGCTCCAGGTTATCTACAGCACAAAATCCATTAACGCGATAAATAACGGAACGTTTATCTGAGATGAGCAACAATAATATTCCTGAGGAAGCCCAGAGTAATATCCAGCAAGTTGTCGAATCATTTATAGTAGCTTTTGATAACCCTGAGACCAAAGGTTAGTAAGTGCTAGTGAACTTCTTTGGCTTCGTCCGAACTGAAAGAGGCGAAATTCTGGTTCCGAACATGAAGAGGAACAAGGCTGCTCAGCGTTTGCGTAAAACTAAAATATTGTTGGTTGACAGAAGGGAGGTAAATCATAAGGCATCAGCGGCAGGTAATGTCAGAGATATATTGAGGCTGGATGTGAAAACGGGCTGCAAAACACCCACCATAAGTGAAAAATTTCGTGGAAGATTGGCCCCTGAATTGCCTTCCAGGATAAACAACTGGGATGCTTCGGGGAACACTGAGAAGTATTTCAGCTTGCCTACAACCAAGCCAAGTTTCTCCAGAAACCATCGGTTAACTGAATAAGACGTTGACATCCGTCCACCAACTGTAACTGGGGTTGTTGAATCCGTACTATACTTTCAAAGCAGGGGAAGCTGGTGGAATTACTCAAGATATGTTGGAGTGCGATAGAGCCCCATCGGACTGATGTAAATTATTGCAGCTGGAAAAGGAGATGGTACTCCTTATGATAATAATAGGCGTATCAGCTTAACCATTGTTCCTAGCATTCTAGGTTCAGTTATCTTGAGTAGACGACATATTGATCAGGAAAAAGTCAGACTTAAGACAAGGGCGTGAGTGTACTTCAGACGTACTTACTGACGTTCGAAACCTGCCATATTTCTCTATATTACGGTGACATTAAGCCCGTCAACCTAGGAGTGCCCATCATTCAAGCTCAGGTTTTCTGTGCAGACTTGATTCCGCATAGTTTTCACGGATTCCCAGTGTGCTTCCATGAGTGTTTACTCAGCGATGTTGTTTAAAGCTTTCGGACATTTCCTTGTGAGATCAGTGAATTTGCCCATCGCAAAATCATCCTTTGATTTCAGCCTACTCACGGCTACTCTGAAGGCTCTCTTGATCTTGAGGTTCTAAAGTCGCACCTGCTCCTCATATCTAAACCGTGTTGACAATTTCGTGCTATGGAATGTATTTGGTTTTTGCTGAGTCCATAAGAAAAGACCTACATGGTGTTGTGAATATCCATGTGCTTATGAACGCTGCAACATTCCACAATATTAGGCGAGCAGCAGTCCAAAGGCAAATGCCCTTTCCAATTCATTTTATCACGCTCTTTTGAGAAAAATAAGTTCCCTTACTGTGTTAAGTCTTCCAAGGTTAACAAATAGAATTATATCACCATCTGAGGTAGATGTATGTACTGCCTTAGGATTTTTTGAAATTATCTCAGTTTCAAATTGTCACTAAAATTAAAAATTAAATTCCATCCTGAAATATAAATATCACGATCTAGCAAAATGAAAACAGCATAAACAACTCGGATTTTATCCATGAGATAACATTCAAACCAAGAGACTTGAGGAAAACAAGATATAAAGGGATCGCGAAATAATTCTAAACGTGTAACGAAAAACTAAAAACCAACAAGTAACAGTGTGACCAACTGTGTGAAAGTCCTTTCAATATTCAACAGAAACCTAACTATTGTGCGACGACATCACCCGCCAACACATTGTTTAAACCAACGTTGGCGTGACAGAGTACTTGTCATGGGACGAAGACCAGCTAGATGGTAGGCAGGATGGATTGCGTTTGTTATTATTTTCAGTTATCGGTATTGCAAGAACAAACCTTATCCGAAGTCGAGGTTTTGTCGGGGTGTTCCAGATCCAAAGATTCGAATTTTCGATCTTGGGAAGAAGAGGGCAGATGTTGAGGAGTTCCCGTTGTGTGTGCATATGATATCGGATGAGTATGAACAACTTTCTAGTGAAGCACTAGAAGCTGCTCGTATTTGTGCGAATAAATATTTGTTGAAGCACTGCGGGAAAGATGCATTCCATGGGCGTATACGTGTGCATCCTTTCCATGTTATCCGGATAAACAAGATGTTGTCGTGTGCCGGAGCTGATCGGTATGTTATGTTGTTGTTATTGTAAATGTTGTTGTTGTGTAGTCTGCAAACAGGAATGAGAGGTGCATTTGGTAAGCCTCAGGGTACGGTAGCGCGAGTTGACATTGGTCAAGTAATAATGTCAGTTCGTGCCCGTGATCAGCATCAAGCTCAAGTGATTGAGGCTCTGAGACGTGCAAAGATGAAGTTCCCAGGTCGACAAAAGGTGAGTGAGTGAGATTTTTGATAAATTGTGAGTACTTGGTATTTGGTGTCCGTATGTGATTAGTGTTTCAGTGAATGTGTGTCTGTCTGGGGTAGGTTGGGGGAAGAGTTGACGACTACGACGAGGTGGTGTTTTGTTTAGAGTATTTGTTTTCACATTGACTGATGAGACTAGGGTTGTTATTTGTAGTGTGAGGAGCAGGATTGTGGGGATGCATGTGAATTAGAAGGACGTTAAGTGTAGTGTAGGAGTTTAGGTTGTGATGTTGAGTTTGCTTAGGCAACTGTTTTGGCTGTAGTGTAGTGTGATGGTGACAATATAGGACGTGTTTGTGCAGGTGTTTGTGTTACTTGTGGTCTAGTCTATATCTGTGTATGTGTGGGTTTCCGACTAGATGTGCGCATTAAGCAATTGGTTGTTGTCGTCAGGTTATTGGTGAGAAAGGATAGTGAAACACCGACGACTTTGAAATGTGGTGGTCCTTGTCACTAGGGAAAGTACTTCTAGTAGGTTTGATGGGTACTTCTCGAAGGTAAATTGGCGAGAAAGAAAGATGTATTCACACACAAACTTTGTATACATGTTGTCCGGAATGTGTTAGCCTGGTTTAATCGTTTTTTTTTTGTGGGTGGATGCATTGATATAAGAATAAAACTTGTTCACTGTGGTAGAGTGTAATTCGATTATGGGTAAATTGTTTTGATAAAGTGTCACAGTGTTATACAGTAATGTTTACTGATGACGTTTCGAGCACAATTTATTGCTCATAGTCATATCAAGGTGATTATGAGGAATAAATTGTGCTCGAAAGGTCATCAGTAACCATTACTGTATAACCCTGTGAGACTTTATGAAAACAAAATTTACCCATAATGGGGGTATTAAGATGTTCCAACTGAGATTACCATGCTGTAACTTAACGATGTCTATTTTCCGTTGATGATTAGTTTGTTGTTAGAACATTGGTCGGATGAATTAGATTAGTGTTGTGACGAAGTTAGTTAGTATATATGGGTTAAGTTATAAGTGACCGGAAAAGAGTGGAGTACCAGGTATGCAGTGATGGATTGTTATGCGCACATTTCAAGGACCAGAGACAATGAATGGTCTGTGGTTTGCTTTGATGTGCTACATTAACTGAAATTTCAGTCGACGTGAAAGTTGAATCACCCACGCACCCTGGCTGGCTGGCTGGCTGACTGACTGACTGACTAGCTAGCTAGCTAAGTGGAATTTGCTACATGAATCTGGTTGCAGGTGTATTGATGTCTTTTGTAATTGTGAATCTTGTCGTAATGATTAGTGGAAGAAGGAAAGAAGAAGACAGGAGACTACAACGTCGTTGAGTCGAGGAGAGCGATTATAGTCTGTGGATATTGTTAAGGAGGCGAATTAGGCGGGAGATGACGTAGAATAGGCGGTGATATTGTTAGACTGTTTGGTGATGGATAAGTGGTGTGTGTAACTGTGTTGTCAACTCCTCAGATGTGATTTTGAATGATATATATTTTGTAAAGAGGGTTTCTGAGCTTGTCTGTGGGTCTGTGCGGCAGTTTTTCCTCTGACGGTGATGTTGCGGCACCTATTAGAATCCGACGACCGTTGTCGTTGGTTCCATGTTGTGTGCAAGAATGAGTCAGTCGAATAATCAAAGTTCAGATATTTGATATTTGAACTATGGCCAATTCGATACAGAGACATGAAATAGTTGTAATAACAAAGTATATTATTATATCTTATTATTCTTATTAATATAATACGGATACTGAAAATAATATAGGTATGAAAGTTGGGCACAGTGGTAGAGCATAAGTCCATTATGGATAAGATTCTTTTTTGATAAATCACACAGTGTTGTACAGTAATATTACCCGATATTATATTGCTGTAGAACGCTGTGATTTATCAAAATGAAATCTTACTGAAAGTAATAGTTTGTTGACATTGAGCTGGTAGTGTGGTGTTGTTGTTACTGATGGCTGGTGTGTTTGTGTATGGGGAAGTCGTTGTGGTAGGGAGATTTGTAGTGGTAATTTTTTTTGGTTTTCGATGTAAGTAGTATGTGGAGCAGGGTGTTGTGTTTGTTATGCTTTGCTATGCTATGCTTAGCCTGAGCCGAGCTTCTTGACTTGACGACTCGTCTGGAAGCAGTGATGATGGCTTACATGAATGAATTTTGGCTGCACTCAGACTCTGTGCATCGAAAGGATGGAGCTCAGAGGCCGTTGTAGCCTACATTTTGGTGATATGGTTGTGTTGTTGTGTCGGAGGCGAACTGGCGGTGTTGGTGCTTTTGGCATGTGTGGAATGCATAGGATTTGATTTGAACTGAACTGATATGTGTAGATAAATGAAAAAGGTGATGAAATGAAGTATGTTAAAAAGTGATGATGTTTGTGTCTAACTTGCAGATAGCCGTGTCACGTAACTGGGGTTTCACGAAATGGCCACGTGGTAGTTTCCAGGAGATGCGTGCTAAGGGTCAGTTGGTGTCGGATGGTGTTGGCGCGAAATATATCCCTGCTCATGGCCCCCTAGAACAATGGAAGAATTCACAAGCACGTCTAGCTGGAATAAACGCGTGAAATGGAGGGTTGTGTACGTGTGTGATTCAGCATGAATAAATAAATGTCTGATGGGAGGAAGTTTCGTTTTCTCTTTTTTGGATGATTGTGTATGAAGTCGTTTTGTCGTTGTGATTTGTGATGGAGTTTTCGGGAAGTGAATATAGTATAATATCACATACATACTTGATTATTTATTTATTTACTGGAGGTTGTATGGAGTAAATGGAGGTGGGAGATAATTCTTCGCGGTTGAGGGAGAAAGTGATGTGTAGGGTATAATTGTGATAGCGATTTGGAATTTTGTAGAGTTTTAGGTCTGGTGATACTGTCTAGTTGTGTTTGCTGTGGTAGGCGTAGGTGAGAGCAGCTATGAAAGGCCGAGTGATGATCAGTTAGAGCACACGTAGAAGATTCGATGGAGATGAGTTGAGCGTAGAGTAGATTATGAGGGGATAAATTGATGGAAAGGAGAATGTCTGTTCGAGGTGTTGAAATGAAATGGAGGATTGTGATGCGGTGATCGCGCCCACTCTGTTTCTAATGGAGAGGGAGAAGAAGACAGTAGGCGATCTCTGGGAGTGTGTTAGCATGGCTGAGCATGGATGTTGAATTGTAGTTGACTTTGTTGTGTGTGGTGTATTGTTGTTGTTGTTGTTGTTGCAGGAGGAGGAGGTTTGGGTTATTATGGGCGTGAATTGGTGTTGAAGTGGAGATAGTGATGGAGTTGTGGTGTAATGTGTGGATGTGGGAATGTTTGTTGAAGCGTTGATGGCTGGTTGGTTGTCGGTTGTGAGATTTTTCATCGTGGATATTGAGTTGTATTTGGTGGTGTTTGCACCAAGTATGCTTAAGATATCCTAAATTGATTGATTGATTGATTGAGTGAGTGAGAGAGGCTATTTCACCGACTGCAACACATGAAGTGCTGTTGTATCTGCAGAATAGCCACAAGTGTTGATTGTGTGTGTGAGTGTTTGAGTGTGATTATGGGATTTTGATTGTGAGGCTGTTGGCGTTTCTGTTGTCGATTTTTGGATGGAAGAGTTGGAGAGTGTGATGTTGAGTGGAATCGTATAGAATTGAGTTGATGTCTTTGGATGTTGTCGCATGCAAGTCTGATTGAAGACTTGCTCTGAAGCACATCCTATATTGATTGAGTGAGTGAAGCATGTGATGTACTGGCTGTCTCTATGTGAGTGAGACAGACGACAGGATCCATGCGACATGATAGTTGTACTGGGTGGGTGTTTTGTGTTGATTTTATTGTGTGTTGTATTTGAGTAAGGTTATATGTCGATGTAGTGGCTTTCGGTTTTTCATCATCTGACCTGACGTGATGTGATGTAGGTGACAGTGAGTGAATGGTGGTGAGTATTGAGTGTTGTTTTCTTTGATATGTTGTATGTGTGTTAGGAGTGTGATTTTTGGTGATTGTGTTTGTGGAGGAATTGTTTTGAGTAGTGGCGTGTATGTATGGTGTTGGTGAGTTAGCTGCTAGCTGGCTAGCTAGCTGGCTGGCTGGCTAGGTAGTGTGGATGTTTGTGTGGGAATGTGAGTGAGTGTTTGTCGTTGGAGTGAGTGTTTGTGGGACTTGCATTTCTGTGTGTAGAGACAAATGAGCCTACATGTGTGGCGTTGTCTCAAGGAAGAAATGCTAAAGAAGATTGTGTTTTTCACGATGGTACCCTGAGTGTCGAGCTTAGGGTTTGGTGAGACACGAGAGATGATGTTCTGGTGTTGTTGTTGCTGGTGTTGTTTTGTTTTGGTGATGACTGAGAGTGTGCATGGTCGAGTCGAATGAATGAGTGACTGAGTAATGTTTGTTGTTATAATTGGTGTTTTGATGTAAAGTCGCCTTGAGTGGTGGTGATGGTTGGCAGTTTGAAGATGTGAGAGACGTGTATACTTGGAGAAAGTTGCATGAAAGACAGTTCGGTAGTGTTGTTTCATTGTTATTTCTAGATTTTTATCGTTTTTATGTAGATGTGTGTGTGGATGCGTCCAGGAGAGGTGTTGTCGAGAGTTTTGTTGTGATGTTTGTTTGAGTTGACTGACGTTGACGTGACAGAATATTTGTGATTGTGGAGATGGGACGAAGACCAGCTAGATAAATGGTAGGCAGGATGGATTGTGTTTGTTATTGTTTTCCGTTATCGGTATTGCAAGAAGAAACCTTATCCGAAGTCGAGGTTTTGTCGTGGTGTTCCAGATCCAAAGATTCGAATTTT